GAAGCCGCCTCAGCGAATGATGGATATTCAGAGGTGCATGGAAGTCCAAACTATTAGAATTGAATAGACTGATTTATTCGTACCTTCGATCATTAAAAAAATATGTATATAGAATAGGACATGTTTTGAATTTAACGTACACTTAACTATCAAATATCATTCTGATGGTTAACAGCATCGATACCGGCTATGTCTGCCTCGTATCTCCAGTGAGAGCGTATTCAGCGTCTCTCGAAGTAAGTGCTCTTCCAATTGTCCTTGATAGAGTGCTATAGCGCCATTACGCCCCTGCACTTGCATAAATTACATCCATTAAACGTTTTGGAACTTACATAATCTGCCGGGTAGAGACTGGCCTCAAATTAATATCTCAATATGTCGAGCGGCGTGCAGACAGTGTTGCGTAAGGACCGACCGACAGACAGACATGGAGGATACCAGCTTTCCACTAATTATTTTTGATGTATTGCGCTTCATGAATATGCTTGCCTTGATTATTCGTAACATACTTTTACCGAAAAGGAAACTTATTATTGGGTACAAATTGGTAGCAGGATCGAACAGCGATCCGGTATTGTTAATCGCTAAGCATATTTGAAATCTGACCGTTTTTTTAGATGCTGTATAAAATACAGGGTGCTTCAAAAATAACGTCTACAGTTTTGGAGCAAAAAATAAAAGGTTCTCAGAACTTAGGTCTCATGTACATGATACAGGCATGTCAAGCTTCATTGATTTCCGCATATTTTCAAAGTAGACTGAATTTAAGATTTTTATACGGATTTTACTTCAAAGATTTGAAGCAATTTTTCTTTACAAGAAGTGGTTTAACAAAGATTTCTCATTTTTGGGAAGTTACATGACGAAAAACCATGCCTCTCATTTCCGTCGGTACTGTCCGCTAATCTTTGGCCCCGCTATAACTTGGGAAGCACCGGTCGGATTTTGATGAACTTTTGATACAAGGTTACTTACTACTATGCCAAGGACGAACAAGCTTATATGAAAATCGCTTATTTTTTGCCAACTTTTTCGATGGATTGAAAGTTGGGGGTTGTAAGTATTGTTATATTGAGACGTTTCATAATTAAAGGCCAAATCGTCAGTGTTCCTACAATTGTAGGACGTCTTTATGGAATCCTTGATTTTCATAGTTTTCTAGTCTTCCGTGTCAGTGTTCAATTCTGAGGTTATTGCATCAAATTATTCATGCTTTTGATTTATATCATCTAGCCCGAAATTTCCCACAATTATAGAAGAATACATAGCCTAACAATAGGATAGCGCTAACGCTGACACGGAACCGTAGAAAGACTATGAACATCAAGGAGGCCTTGAAGGCGTCCTAAAATTGTAGGAACGACTGGTACGGCCATTAGGCGTGACACCACAGTAACGTGACTAAAAAGTGGCTTCTTTATCATGTTTTCTTTTGTGAAAAAAGTAATACAATAAAAATTTTGGACGAGGTTATTGAGCATATAATTAGGTCATAAGAAAATATTCAAAATTTGTGGCAACGCAGCCATTTTCGCGAGGGCTATATAATTTGAGGCGCTCTAGCTACTGCAAATGTGGATCTAGAAAAAAGAAGGAAAAGCAATATATTTTACATGCTCATAGCTAAATAAATGAGCAGGGACTTTAAAAATATTGATGTTTATGTCGTTGGATAGTATTTGAATTGAAACGTTCAATTTTTGACGAAAAGAATAGTAATTATTTGTTAATAAATAATGATTGAATTAGCTTATAAAAAATCATCTGCACATTTTTCTTCATAATGCAATTTTGAAGATATTGTAATAAATTCGAATGAAAAGAATTACATCTGTTCTAGTTATTGTGCGTGCCGTTTCGAAAAATCGAGTTTCATGAAAAACGCTGGGGTGCCGACATTTTTTAATATTTTTTGATAATTTTATTTTTTGTTCCATGAATATATGCCGAAAACTTTTTCAAATTTTATTATTTTATTAAACTTCTGTCCACAAAAAAATGACAAAAATGCTTTTGTAAGCTGTTATAGTGGTGCTACCTCTTAAGAAGCCGCTACCGGTAATACTAAGCACATATTAAATATTATAGTCGTACACATTTATGTATGTGAATCTTAGCACCAAAATCTGGTTTCGTAACTCATAACTTTACCCGCCCCTTAGCCTACCCACCGGACATGATAGAGACCGACTGTGGTTGATGCTGGTTACTCACAGGAATAGGCGGAATGCATGGACATATAAAACAATAAAATGGTTATTGCTGTTGTCTCAGGAACTTTTCTCTATATAAAGTTCAACTAGTGGGTCCATGTTTTTTCCAGGATTCAAAGTGCGTAGAGCTATTATATTCAGGTATCAAAGATTGCTAACAAACAGCTATATACTCTAGCTACAAAGAAATAAGGTTACCTTATAAGGAAACGCTCATAGCTGCAATCTGAGGATTTTTCCATGAAAATTCCTGTAGGACATTGATGCTTCTAATAAAACTTACGACTTTTTGGTGCCTTTGTGTACTGATGAGATTGCACTATACGAAAAACTGTACTAGAAGCCGTTTTGGATACGTTGGAGAGTCAAATTATTCGACGTCGTTTTTTCTATGGAAGTTGCAATATTCGACTGGTGTAGTCATTACATTTTCCTATTAGTTACGTTATATGTCCTACACGTACAAAATTTTTAGTCAAAACTTCTATCTACTCTGGACTAGGAAAATATAACTTCTTCATCCTGTATCTAGGAGCTATGTTTATAAACTTTTCGTGTTCTACTTATTAATCTAATGTTCCGCCACTGACTGCCTCATGTGCGTATTGTTTAGAAGTTGAGGATTCGCGTCAGATGCAATCAGGAGTTCCTTTGCGCTGTTGAAGCAACTTCAAGTACTCCTTTGTATCTGAGTTTGTATCGCAGGAGACTGTGCTATGCAATTTAAGTTTGCTGACTAGTCTACAGATATGCATTAGAATAATCCGGATTCAGCGATTCGCGAAAATCTGGAGATACGATGGAATATTGTAAGTGTTGTAGGACTCGATTATCTGGCCGAATAAAACCACATACATGATTTAACTTCTGTTTATTGTATGACGTTTCAGCTACTACGGTGGCCTTTTTCAAGTACAATGACAGTTTAAGAGATGTTTAAACATATGTGTGGTTTCATTCGGCACTATGAACATGAAAATCAGGATAAGTTTCAGGAGTTTGATTATTTCAATTGTTTTATAATACGAGGAGTCGAAAAACGGAGGCATTGATCATCATGTTAAAAGTCGAAGCTGTTCAAATGTGACTCTGGTAGCCATTCCGTAACCGAAACATATTCTCTAGTAATTATGAAACTTTGCAAAGATCAAACTTATATCGATTTGTGATGTTTCATTTAAAAACAATGTTGCACTGTCACAAAGTAGGTCAGCAGAAAAAAAACACCTTCAAGGTTGCGGAATGCAGACATGTGCATCTTCGCTGTACCTACAATTGAATTTTTACTTTCTAATGCATGCGGGCAAAAGAGGGTACTTACTCTTTTTCTTTGAGCTGTCTCGGAATCACAGAAGTTGTATACAATGATTCTAGATGTGCAGCCAATAGAACCGCTCATGGATATAAGGACGGGATATCGCATTAAATTTTTTATTGTCTGAAGAAATGAAAGTAAAATTCATCATTAAAAATATAGTAAGCTTTCCTACTTTACCTACTACGTGCAAAAAAATTGAGTTGATAACTATAGTGATACCAGTATTTATTTTTTAAGCAAGCTGTTACAGAGTAATGATTATGTCAGAGGCAAAATTGCACTAAATACCAATATATACATATATATATATATATATATATATATATATATATATAGAGAGAGAGAGAGAGAGAGAGAAATTACCATTTTCATTAATGGAATTGGATATGATTATTGAAGTACGTGATCATTACTACATACTATCTGCAACTATTCCATGGCATGTGTCCTCACATGTGCTGGAAATTTGTCGTGACGCAAGCAGTCTGTAACATATTAGAGCACGCAACATGTGCCGCAACTTGTTGGAATGTAAACGCATTTTAGATCCAGTAACTATAGACCTATTGATATAGCGAATGGTAGAAGTGTGTAGTGATTACGGAATTACTCTTTACCCGACTGCATCAGAAGGAGTCATGTGTTTTACATCATGTGTACATCATGTATGTATGTATACATATATTGAATATGGACAAGAATAATTATATTTCATTTCAGGTTTGCAGTGTCTGTTTAACGGGCTACAGCTTAACGAGGAGTCTGTAGTCTAGTGACAGTGCTAGTGACTCTACTAAAAAAATTTAAATCGAAAAGGTGGATTTTAAACGCAAAGTTCACCTTTGAAACTTCTAATTCATGCCCAAATAGCATGATGGATTTTGTCATTTTGAATTGAGGTGTCCTCAGATTCGTCTTGATAGCACGATTAAAACTTCATTCTTTTCAGTTACTGCAGTTGTTTTTTTTATATCTTTGTAAAATGTATTTGTTTTTATCATCTAGTTTTTGTGTGGAATGTCGCTGGTAGTGCAATGAGCAGGCAACATGAAAGTCGAATACAGCTATGCGGGTCGGTATAAGCTGAACGGCGACTATTGGTCCGAAATGGCAGGTGAGACACAGTTAAGAAATACCGGACCAAGCAGGAGGTACAAGCAACCAAACACCTGCCACCTGCCTATAGTCTCGCGCACCCGACGAAAAAATGCGCGCAACGTGATGGAGTAGTAGCGCGTCATTATAAGATCATTGCCTAAGGTTTGGAGTTTGGTGACCGTTCCAAGGAATAGTCATTGCCTTGGACTGAAAAAAAAACTGGCTCATGGCAATGAATATATGCGACTCCGTAGTCACTTTTGTTACTATCTTGAAACATGATTTTACACACGCGCGGTCTTCCAAAATTTGGAGTTTGGTGGCTTCTCCAATAAATAGGCTTAAACTGCGAAAAAATAATAACTAAATACCTTGGCACTTTTGCTGCTACCTTGTAGACGGGGTTGGAACATAAATGATTTGTCGATTACAGTAGCTGCTGGGTAATTTGATTCTGATTGGACCTTGGTGTGATCATTGCCAGTGATGGGTACACTATAAGTAAAATACACGATTGTATACTCGTTTACAATTGCAATTGTATACGTCTTGATATTCGTGTAGAGTAGACAATGTAAACACCGTAGACAATGTATACAATAGCAAATAATAGTACATTTAGGTTGCTCCCATATATGCAGCACTTCTGTAAAAGTGACTTTTGAATAATTGGAAGTCGTACAGTATATATATATATATATTTTTGATTTATGTCTACATTGTTATAGTTTTAAATAAATTAGGAACGTTTCTGAAATAAAATGAAATACACTTTGAGAACAGAATCCTCTCATTTGATTGATTTCATTCACGGTCGTTAGTATAGTCAATATTTAGATTGGCAAAGTCGTTATATTTCCATCGTACGGAGTGATGCATACGCTTTCTTACTACGCTAATTGTCTAGCATAGTTACACCAGCCTTTTTTGTTTATTCGTCCGAATAGGCACAAGTTTGGGTAAATGATGGAAATGAGATTAAAAATTCCCGCGAATGGGTTGGCTCTGTACTGTCTATATTTCCCTTGAAATTCTGTCATCAATTAAATTATGATCGGCTTAATCCCAGGCCTACGGTCTGTGATTTAAAAGAGGAAACAATATCAGAAGGCGCTAAATCCCAAAATATTCCTTATTTGATCATGGTTCCTTAATATCATTTAACTACATTGCATTTGTATATTATAAAGCAACTATCTAGAAGTATTTTATTTTATAGCGAAAATGAACAAAGTATAACCTTATTTGTATATGCAGCTAAGGATAACAGATGAAAAGGTTTTTTACATTAAAAAAAATTAAATATCTAAAAAACGGTGACACTATTATATAGGTAAGATTTTGTTATTTGGGAGGTCAGTCCAAAGTCTACCTTCTCCTTAAGTTTGTCGTGGTACTTATTGGACACCCTGTGTACGTTTATTATTATTATATCGTAAAAGTACAGTTCTACATCTCAATCCATAAAAATAAACCTATCAAATTTGTTCCATTGGTAATTCTATGTACGTATGTGAATATTATATCTTATCTATATTATGCTTACTATTGCACATATGTGATATATTCCTAGCGCTGCCACAGGAAGATCATCCAACCTGTGGTAAAACATACGCCGTACGCCTATAGCGTAAGGCAAAGAGAAGATCCGGGACGTATAACTGCAACTTTGCTGTCAAGGCGAGGCTCAGAACTCAAGACGTATAGCGAAATTTGCGTCATTTGAACCTTCCAGCATCTTAAGTACCAAAATAACATCGAGATCAAAAGCTTCTTAATAATATAACGTCACTCAGGTACAATATTTACAACCCTACTCCACTTACAGCACCAAGCCGCAATTTTCAAAAAAATCTGATAAAAACCTATAAAGCTTTTTGTAATTGGGATAGTAGTAACCTTGTCTCAAAGTGTGATCAATATCCGAACGATAATTTCCAAGTAATAGAGGAGTTAAGGATCAGTGAACAGACCGACAGAAATCAGTGACCTCGTATTTCGTGTATTACATACTTATACTATTTAAAAAACTTCTAATTTTCAAAGTACTTCGGAATTACAATATTTCCTGGCAAATTGGAGTGGGCTTAAACCGAACTAAATCGTACCTGATTAGTCGCCTTGCCGCACGCCACAGCAGTACCACGCCATCCCTCCTGCGCGGCTGTTAGCTCCGCCCTAAGCGTCTGTCGGTCTGCCTCCGCTTCGAAGACTCGCCTCCTCGCTCGCTCTAGCTCCACTCCCACCGTCTTCACCTCGCCACGCACCAATCGCAGATCCGCACGCGTCGACTCTCGCTCACGCAGCGCGGCGGTGGCGTTCAGTGCCACCTGCAGTTCGCTCAGTTCGGAGCGAACTTCGTTCAATGCTTGGGAGAGCCATTTTATGGTTAGGGCGTCGTTTTTGTCTAAGTGGGGTGGGCTTGCAGGTTGACCTTGTCGTAGTTGATGCAGTTCAGACCTGGAATTAAGGGTAGGATTAACGTTGGTTCACATTCACATATGTATTATGTCCTAAGCTCCTAATTTTGTTGACATAAGATGAGGAATTCAAAAAGTAGCGATTTTTATTTTTTGTTATTTTCAAGCTGGTCGAAAAAGCTATTGATAGGATAGGATAGATACACAAGGCGTTAATAAAGTGCCCCGTCATATCTCAAGGGGTGTTCCGTAGGTGATTATTGAATAGTTGTAAGAAGTTCATGTGAGCCTAAAAATTCCCCTTACTCTGAGAGTTATAATTTCTAAAGCGGTGAATAATTAATTGATTGTCTGAAATGGATACAGTTGTAGTCTTGAAATTGTGTACAAATATGGTTTTAAAATGTCGCATTACCAAGATTTGTCGTAAATTTATTGGCTACTGATGCGACTGAATAAGGACAAAATATGAATATTGTTTAAATAACGCTATGATGAGATAGGATTACTAACGTAATACATATATACTATTTAACGTCAAACTTCGCTAACTTCAGTGTATTTTCAAAGTACAACGGATTGAGGCTCTTTATGCGGATTTTACCTCAAATAAACCAATTTCTCACCAAATGGGGTAGTCTGACACTTTTTTTGTAAAACTGAATAAATTACTTCAACATGCATTAGATGATTCAAAAAGTTAGTGGCGCAGAAAATGGTTTTTACTTCTGTAGGTGTCAAAATTTCCCAATTTCTATGCCACTGGTGCAGTCTCAAATACAAACAGTTTTACATGTATCTACAAAAATTTTTAGTCAATATCTGTAGTTATATTTTTCTTAAATTTAGGTATATTACCACGTTGTTCTGAAACACCCTGTATACAAATATTTTTCAAACTACACCAGTGGCATAGATACACTGATATTCTGAACGCTAAAGAACAAAAATGAATTAAAAATAATTTCTGCGCCACTGACTCTTTGGCAACATCTATTGCATTTTAGAATAAAGCATCTAATTTTATATGAAATGTCTCTCTTGAGAAATTTTAGGGAAGTAGTTCCACTACGGCTTCACCTGATGAATATTCATGTTTTGTTCTTAATTAGTCTCCTTAATAACAATTTACGACACCCTATATTTTTTTAACTATAAATTTCTGGAACTATATTTATATGGACTTTTCTGGAATCGCCCATGGAATGACTTCTTGAAGTTTGGCCAAGTACTTTATACCCTGTATAAACAAACGAAGTATCAATTTTTGTAAATACCTCAGAAGTGCCATGCTCTTCAGGCGATAGTCCTCGTATAAGTTTACTGGATGATGAATGCTGAATTTAATTTTAAAATTGCAGAAGCAACTCCTGTATAAAAATGCTATCAGTGATAAATAATATTTTTTTAAAAGATTCCGTAACAGTATTTTCAGTAACTAATAGGTAATTGTTTTATAAAACGGACCAACATGGAGAATCAACGAATAAACCGTTCTATCCGTCTAATATTTTTTTATGTAAGATATTTGCTTGAAGGTTCATTGTCATAATTATACTCGTATCTAAACTTGTAGAGCACAAAATTTGTGCAACAAACTGTAGCAGGCCTTCAGGATGCACTGTATATTAAATATGATTTTTTGTGCTGCAGAATAAAAGAAATAATAGCAGTTATGAACATCACGCAGTTATGCGTTCCGACAGAACAACGCGCATTCTATTGTACAAGTTTCGAGCGTACATCAGACAATTTTTAATTTTCATCTGCGATGTAAAGCGCGAGTGTCGGGCTACATCTAGGCTGTTTCCTGTTTCGTAATAGCCTCTCGAATTTAGTCAAAAGCCTCCAGACGATCTGAACTTGAAAATGCGGGAGTGAATCAATAGAAAAAGGGCATCGTATTATTACTTTTCGAAGAACTGTATTCATTAACATCGATAGATGAGTCGCTCCCGGGTCACTACCAGGAGAAGTGAGGAGGTCTCGCCGTCGTTCATGTCTCATATCTAAATATGAAGTTAACTTTGTGCTTATAAACACTCAATAATATGAAAAGCCTAGGAACTTTTATTTTTCCGAAGTCTAATGCATTCACAGTCCTATTTATTAAACATCAAAACAGATTTCTAAGGTCTCTGAAAATGTGATTCATCGTCACCTAGAAAATTTCTCGTCGGATCACCTTGGGATTCCTGACGTGCAGTTGGGTTTCGGTCTGAGCATACTACGGAGTTACAGGCAGCTAGACTGGTGGAGCATCTAACCACGGGGTTCACACTTAACAAAACAAGTACATTCGATAAGGTGTGACACATAGGCACTTATGTAAGGCGATCCAAAAGAACTTTTAATTTTGGCTTCTTAAACTCCTTTCTAGAAGGCAGGATTCAGATAAAAATCAACAATGTTTCGTCAACAACACGGCCCGTGGGGCCGGTGTTCGTTAGGGTTTGGTCTTAGGATCTATCCTTTATTCACTTTGTGTGTATGACGTCGCTTGCCACAGCGACTGTGAAGTCTATAGTCTGAGGGATTACGTAAAACAACAAGTTTTGGAGCGGAATCGTACAGCAACCATCTGTTGCGAGGCACAGACAAGCAAAATTAAATTTGCGTGTCTGACCAACTAATACTGTTTATTAAGCTCTTCCTCTTCAACTGATTTACGTTTTTTTATTTACCCTTTTCTTTTCTTTCTCTTTTTCCCTTAAACTTTTTTGGCATCTGCGTCACTTCCAATGCCCATAATGAGAGTTGATTGGGCTCAAACAAGACCGATGCAGCAGGTCGTGCAGTCAAAGCGTTCGCTCTTACTCAAGGGCTGATCCAGCTGGTGACGAGCGCTAATTTTTTCCCCCGTGTCTCGTCACATGCCAGTAGCCTGCTGGATCTCTTTCTGACCACGCATCCTGTCCCTTACAACACTGCTGTAGTTGTTCCCACTGGGTAACTCGGTCCACGGTGTTGTGGAGGTTAGGTTTCGTTCAGAACCCGCTCTGGTTGCACACACTCGTACAGGCTGCAAAACTTGGCATTACGGACATGCCGACTGGGAGGGGCTCAGAGACTTCTTCTCTACTTTTCCTTGGAGAGATGCCTGTTTCACTGACGCGGATGCGTCGGCCGTCTGTTCTTCGATAACCGAAATTATCCACGTCGGAATGGAGGAATACATCCCTCACACAGTGAAAGTCCCTAAACCAGGGTCCAACGGCTGGTTTAACAAATCGTGTGACACTGCTCGCCAGCAGAAGATCAAGGCACATAGAACCTTCTCACAAAACCCCACTGTAGAGAACAGACAAGTCGAAGTCGAGTCCAGAAACAAATATAACGAAGCGGTTCGCAATGCCAAAAACCACTAGGATATAACAGTTAGGCGCAGAATAATGTCGCAGCGCAATGGCTGTCGGTCTTTCTGGATGCTGGCCAAGCAGATTGAAAAGAACTTCTCACACAGTAGCCTTTGACCACTTACGTGTCAGGATGGAACGATTGTATCCGACTCAAAGCCAAGGCGGAAGTGCTTGCCAGGATCTTTGCTGCCAACTCCACCATGGGCGTCCCCCCCAAAGCCCAAGTGCCAACAATTTAAAGGGTTCCATATATTATACAAGAGGTAACATTCAGGCATAAGACCGTAGGATAAGTGCTCTTGTCGCTCGATATCAACAAAGCTTCTGGTCCGGGCTTGATTCCAGCCATTGTACTGAAGAGGTGTGCAGCGGAGCTTGCTCCAGTTCTTTCGCGCCTTTTCGGGATATCTTATGAATCCGGCACCTTCCCAGAAAACTGGAAATTTGCTCATGTCCAACCAATCCCAGAAAAAGGGTCTAAGACAGACCCTTACAACTATAGTCTTATAGCTCTGCCTTCTGTTATAAGTAAGGTGATGGAGAGGTGCATAAATCGCGAGCTTCTGGACTACCTCGAACGTCACAGCTTGATTAGCGACATGCAGTATGGTTTCCGGCACCAACGATCCATAGGGGACCTCCTAGCTTACGTCACGCAATTGTGGAGTAAACTTATCCAGTCTTATGGTGAGGCTCATGTCGTTGCTCTTGACTTTACGAAAGCGTGCGATCAGCTGTGGCACGCTGCCCTCTTAAGCAAACTTCCATCCTATGGCCTCCCAGAAAAGCTGACTTTATCTCTGGCTGCAAGATATCCATCGTAATTGATGGGTTTTCCTCTTCATCCCACAACGTCAACGTGGGTGTTCCCCAGGGATCGGTCTTGGGTCCGGCACTGTTGCTTTTACATATCAACGACCTCTTTTTGTGCACGATCAACCCAATTCGCAGCTTCGCTGATGACAGCACTCTCTCTGACGAGAGACCTGGAGGTTATCACTGCTTGGGGACGCAACAATCGTGACGCAACAATGCTTCCAAAACAGTACTGTACTTTGACGAACAAAAAGCGACCTAGCGCTCATCCGATTTCGATGGATGGCCGAGTTCTGCCAAAGAGCCATTCATTTCGGCTGGTCGGAGTCCGGAGCATCGAGGACCTGATTTGGCACGAACACATCTCGCCAATAGAGGCAGCTGCTGGCAAAAGGCTAGACTATTTGTTCAGGGCTAAGAAGTAATTTTCTCCTCATGACCTTCTCACTCTATACAAGGCGCAGATAAGGCCTAGCCTCGAGTATTGCTCACACGTTTGAGGTGCTGCCGTCCCGACTACATTATTTATGCTCGATGCTGTCAAGAGGAGGGAGGGCCGACTGATAGATGACTCTTATCTAACAGACAGTCTCGGAACCCTTTCGCACCGGCGGCCCGTCGGCGATCTAGCTCTTTTCTATCGCTACACAGACCCGCCTGATTTTGGCGTCCCATCCTAACCGTGTCGAACTTCGTACATCCAAAAGTGGTCGATACCGCTCCTTTGTCTCGAGGGTGTCTATATTGTGGAACAATCTACAAGAGGAAGCTTTTCCCACTTCGACTAACCTTAGGTAGTTCAAAATTTTATTAACAAAATTTCGTTGGGATCATCATAGCAGACGCGGGGTTCCGGTATTTAGGCTTCTGCCTGCGCGGCTGCTTCGGTATAAAAAAAATACTATACCTCATAGACTAACAGACCGACGAGACTTTTAACTAAGAGCAAATGTCCCCTGCACCGCCCTCATAAACAACGACGAATAGTAGCACCTAAGCAAAAGTAAAAATTGTCAGAAAATGTAGTAGTAGTGATGGTAGTGATGGGGAGACGAAGCCTGGCAACTAGGCCACCTTTGTTCCTTTTTGTTGACTCCGTAGTACCAACACTTCACTACTCCACTGAAAATTAGAGAATAGCTAGTAGAGTGTCCTATTGCGTTTTCTGAAAGCTTTTGACGTGTGTTTTGACGTTTTTCAAATAAATGTGTGAGTGCATCTATTTTCGGCACAATAATCTGTTCTAGCTTTCTCATTATTAAACGATTTATCACAAAGAGTATGACTTCGGGGCGATCATTCTATCAGTGTTCAGGAATACAGTTCCTTGAAAAGCAAGAAAACCACGCCCACTTCCTCTCAGTGATTCTAATCCCCCGTTTCAAGAATGGGAGTTCAGGTATGTACTTACAAAATTTTTTCAGACAATAACGCGTCAGATTACAATGCACATAATTGTCAGAGGGGTTCATACATCCTAACTAAACAAAATTAAAAGTATTATATCACGACGTTTCATCAAAAAATTGATTGCATACCCAGTACGGTTTCTGAAGTAGATATACGACTTTTTTCATTCTAAATGATAATTGAATTCTTGAGGTGTCAGTTTGCTAGTTCGCAATTTTAAATTTTTACTACTTATATTGGGTATTTTTCAATGTCTCATTTGACACTTATTTCTGAGAGTACTCGAAGTTATTACGTATTTTGGAGTGCTGTGAAGACCAATCATGTTCAGCATAATTAATAAAAAATAAATATTATAAAATATGATATATTATTACTATATTTTCCTAAATTTCCAAGGCTGTAATGAGGAGAATGCCATTCCGAGATAAAAAAGTGAATTAATTTCCCGAACAAGGCAAGACTTGTTTATGGGTCTCTGAAGGGAAGGTATTAAAAAGGGGATGGTAGCGCCATTTTTAATTTTTGATGTTTCTCGAGTCCTTTTTTATTATGGCGGGAAGACAACTCGTGGAGAATGGAATTAACTTTGAAGATTTATTATTATTTGCATAGGGGTTGATTCTTATGAGAATGTATGGACAAAGTTGTACTCGTAATTTCGTTGCAGGCGGAAAAACTCCAAAAATAAGGTCAAGAATTTTCTTTCAAACTCCTTGCGAATTGAATTAGAACCCTTTTAAAAACATATACTTCAAAGATAAACCTTGCGCAGTCAAATAGGTGAACTGCTTTACGTAAATCAAATCATCATATACTGCGTTTAGGAGGGACGGGCTGCTGTGATTGAAACTTGAAGAGCGGAGGGGGTGTCAGCGACTCGGATGCATCAGTGCTTCCGAGAGCTAATGTCCTTGTCCTACGATAGCGACCGGCACGGGAATTACGTATCTTGAAAAGTGACGTTATATCGATTTTTTTGACATTATACTGTTGTTTTTGACATTATGTAGGTTTTTCTACAACATGTTGACTTAGCACTCATTTGTACGTGTTGCCCAAACGTCATGAGGTTTCAGTTATCAATGTTTGGCTCTGATGTGATGTAAAATCTGCTTCAGAGATGGCATTACTGCAGGTATGTGTTGATGATAATTCCATTGGATTCTTGTCTCAAATACACTTACTTGAGATTCAAAGCTAAAAATTAATTGCGCATCCACTTTTTCTTATACATTCTGGAAATTACATATATGCAAATTTGCTGAATTTCAAAAATGAGAGAGATAAATAATTATATTCATTGTACACTGTCGAATTATAAAACACAAGCCATATATATGCTAACAGTAATTACACACAATGCTGGTGATTTCCCGTAATTCTCCTCAAAGTTTTTCGTAATTTATAACTTTGAACATAACCTCTCTTCAGAAAGCACAACACAAATAACTCGTCGGGCACAGCTAATAGATATACTTCACTGGCAGCATATTTAGTAATGATTTTCTCACAGCAAATATCACTGATTTCATACACATCCAGATGCGATCTTGCTATTCACCCAACTTTCTTCTCAGAGATAGAAACTACACACAAGGACAATTTGGCCTCACAAAACATATGTAACCAATAATGCGCGTAGTTTAGTTGAGTGATTCCTCCTTAGATGGACGTTCACAACGATCCTAGTGAGCAAACGTGGAATGACTGTTTGCGCCCTAAAAACTACATAGTTTGCAAGATGATATCTTATAGGTTTTTTTTGACGTTTTATAGGTTTTTATCATGATACCCATGCCGGTTTACCATTCTTGTCACTTGTGTACTACCTAGTCGCTACGTCGCTAGCCCACGGCGCATTTACTCGCTGAGAACGACACCTATGGAAATATGGTACAACGACCATCATTCCGGCAACAGCACAGTACATACAGCTTAGCTTAGACTTAGACCATAGAAGCTATGATTGGCTTCCGCTAGTGCCGTCACATAAGAGACACGCCACACAGCTCAAGTATCTTGACGTTCAGCCAACACACACGGCTACAAGTGAATATGATGTGAATGACAGTTCTAAAGTGATAATTCTCGAACCTTGCATGCGACACTGAAATTTTATTTTTGTGATTCTTGTCATCTTCTTTCACTGTACTTTTGTAAAGTTGATTTTGAGAGGGGTGTTGGAAATGAGGTGGGCAATCACGAAGAAAATAGTAGAGTAAGCAAGCAAACTATTACTTTGTTGTCAAATGAAGAATGTCGAATGGGGGATCTTGGCATTATGAATTTCGTGGGACGATTTGACATTTGAGAACAATCCCCGACCTCTCATCGCTATCCCTGTCATTTTGCAGTCACCTAATAAAGGTGTCGGATGCATACTCCAAGGCCTGTGAATCCAGTGTGATTTTTGTTTGGCTTTGGCACCAGGGGCCTGATTCTAATTGAAATTCAACCGTTGAAATTAATTTGCCATGATAATTTGCATACAGATCGATAGATTAGGTGTCAAAATTATCATAGCGGATTATATATATATATATATATATAAGGGAAGGAGACATCGAAATTAATTTCAACGGTCGAAATTCATTTAGAATCAAGCCCCAGGAGACTGTGAGGCAGTGGTCTTGGGCTGGCGATCACACTCATATGCTGCATAACTTTGTCCTGAGGTATAGAAAATTTCATGAGTTTATGGGTAAAGTCCCAGATTTACTTACTCTCATTCCAGGAGCTTGATTCTAAATGAGTTTCGACCGTTGAAATTGATTTCGATGGCGCCTTGTGACGATATACTTGACTAGCTATGATAATTTTGACTCTGCCATGATAATCTAATTATAGATGATCAATATAATCAGATGTCAAAATTATAATAGCGAACCAAGTATATTGCCAAAAGGTGCCATCGAAATCAATTTTAACGGTCGAAACTCATTTTGAATCAAGCCCCAGAACTGCTGAAATAGTGCGCCTATGATTTCAATCTTGAATTAATAATGTAAATTCTAAAGTAAAGTGCAGTATATCAAGTCACATAGGTGATGAACGTGACACCCCTTTAAACTCCACTAAGGTGTGCAACTAATATATTCTAACGTCGAGCGCCAGATGGCTTATTTAATATCGTATCATGCATCTTGCTACAAGGTAACTCAGAAGTTACGTGGATTAGCAACTGCAAACAACAACTCAAACGTTGGTTTCGACGCTTTAAATCCATGGATTCATGTCTTTTCATCGCTACCGTTTTGTTTTAATGGTCATAGTTGATGGCTGCACTCAAGTTTTACGGAAACAGATACTAAACGTGTATGAAAACCTGAATTTATATAAAATCATTATTTGGTTGGTAGGAATATTCTGCGTGTGGCAGCTTTTCAGCTTCTCACATTCGTCGATAAATAAATAAAAGTAACAAATAAGTAAAAATTGAGAAATCGATTGGTAAATATGCCGTTTCATTTTGACCTTTGAACAATAATGAACCCCCTTCATCTCAAGTTGTCGAATAAAAGCATTTTACGGCATTTTTTCTTCTTGCTGTTAAAATGTAACATGCTTTTATTTGGAAACTTGAGACGGAGGAGCTTTATTTTCGTTTACCTGCTAGAACTTCTTATGTTTAACATGTATGGGAATCCGGATAACCTAACATAACAGACCTTATTTAGTATAAACTGTACACTTTGTAAGCTATTTGGCATGTCCAAGGCTTGTATCAAATTTTATCAAGGCAAATCGCAAACAAATATATACATATCGTTCTACAGCAAATTTTATAAAATAGCTAAAAAACATGAATCGTGTTAATCGCATTCTGTGGATATTCATATTTGATGAGTTTGATTTGGTACATCACCCAATATTTATTGATAGGTATATCTTAAATTCAGACAATTCAAATTTAAATTCAGATTATAATTCTCTATATGCTCGCACATCTAGTTAGTTTGTTCGCGTAACTGGGTTGTTTCATTTATTTATTTGACACATACATAATGAACGTGTCCACGTAAATCCGATCGAAAAACTATTCTAAATAAGGGCGCATTCGGGAGACACCTTTATAATGGAAACGTACATAGTGTGATGGACGTCAACGTTTTTCGATTATGGAAAATAAAATAGGTTATGGTATAGACTAAGCAATTAATGACTATGCTACATGTATACTAAGTGACATATAAATCCGAACACCCAGTTTAAATGGTTCTATTTTAATAAAATTTTGTATAAGTACTTAATGAAGCATAATAAGTAAATGATAAAAATTTCAAAATGATTGCACTGCTTTAAGGCCCTTTGACCTTTAATAATGTGTGGATGCACCCTGATGTGCTACGCATTCTCCAACGCGCCTAGGCATGCTTCTGATCAGGTGGTCAATGTCCTCCTGTGGTATCTCATTCCAGGCAACCACCAACTCGTCTCGAAGTGCTCCTAGAGTCTGAGGAGGACGTTGCAAATTGAGCAATCTCCTACCCATCATATCCCACACGTGCTCAATTGGGTATAAGTCGGGAGATCTTGGTGGCCATGGTAACAAAGTGACATCATTATGTTGAAAGAAGTCTATTGTGACTCTTGCAACATGTGGTCGGGCATTGTCTTGTTGGAAAGTTAGATCTGCCAGGGTGTCAAGATGGGGTAAAAGATGGGGTTCTAGAACTTCGTCGATATAACGCTGCGTGTTCATGTTACCTCTGATGAAGATTAAAGGTGACCTGGAACCATAAGCTATAGCACCCCAAACCGTAACTCCAACAGTGTGATGAACATGTCTTTCAACAAAAAACTGTGGATTCCTCCTTTCACCACGTCGCCTTCTAACCCTGGCACGACCATCGTGCATGCCTAAACAAAATCGAGACTCGTCACTAAAGACAATACTGTTCCATTCTAGATCCCAGAGTGGCCGTTGTCTGCACCACTCAAGGCGATTACGTCGGTGTTCTCGAGTTAAAGGGAGGACCCAGTGTGGCCGGTATGAAAACAAGCCAAAACTTCTCATTCGTCGGTAAACACTTCGCATGCCAATAGGTTTTCCGTGTTCTGCAAACCATTCATTTGCAATGGACCTGGTAGTGGAGAAACGGTCTCTTAAGGCCAATAATCTTAGGCGGCGATCTTCACGGTCTATTGTTCTACGGCGGCGTCCAGTGCCCCTTGCTCTTTGCGTACGGCCTTCTCGAAGCCATGCCTGACAACACCTAACCACAGTGTCTACACTTCTTTGCACTCTAACTGCAATTGCCCGAAAATAAAGTCCAGCTTCCCGAAGTCCCACTATACGGCCTCTATCAAACTCACTAAGTTGACGAAATCGTACAGGTCTCCGTACTCTAGGCATCGTAACCGATCGTAAAGGGTGTCAAGAACCAAAATCCACCAAACGTTGATTCTTTACTGCGGCTGAAATATTCATTTTTAGAGCGTTAGTGAATTAAAAAAAGCAGTATAAAAACCGGAATGTCCAACTGATAAGGCTGAAAATTTTTTCACTTGTTATTTACAGTAAGATAAATACATTCACCAACTTTTATTAAAATAAAACCATTTAAATTGGGTGTTCGGATTTATATGTCACTTAGTATAGCTTTATTTGCTCTACCAGGATAAACAATTTCCTACAAAGGGAACTGCATATTCTGGACTGGACTATTCAACTGTTTTGTCCATTGATAATTTTCGGAAAAAACCCTTTTTTGTGTGTATACAAGTGACAAAATCAGCAAGGCATGTAGAGAAATTCCAACATTCAGCTTGAACGCAATGCTATAATATTCCTCTCATAGATTCAGAGCCCTTTCAGACTGATCAGGGCCATTTTACTTCCCACGCCTACTTTCGAGGAAGTATTGTAAAAAAATTCGGAAGCGAGATATTACGTTTTTGGGTGTTATATGACATGTACGTCACAAAATATCATGTCATTCATTCTCATCGGTCTGTCTGTCCGCTAATCCATGGCCCGTCTATAACTTCCGGTCCAGTTGCGGCGGTATGAAGACCAAAAAACGGAAAAAAAATTGAACCGTTTTCGACGTTTCAGAGGCTGCTGACCATTTACAGAAATTTTTTGAGTGGTTAAAAATCAAGGGTTGAGGGTTGTAGACGATATCTCATTTCTTCCCGCCAGTATATTTATATGCTTTCAATTCCGGCTTACGCACCTATTCCGGCCCTGCTTATTAATACATATTTCACACATCATATATTTTCCCGTATATTTGCTCTTAAAACTATTTTTTGTAAAAAATATTACAGACGCTACTCGTGGAGGGTCGGTACAATGACAACCTTCATGCGCCAGTCTTTGTGTGCGTTTGACTGCATCGTTGGCGTTCTCGATCTCGAGGTATAGATTCGTTACTCTGGCGATTATGGCATGGTTGACTGGTGTGGTTCAGCACTCTTGCCATTTGGTCATACATAGGGCGGAGAAGGATGTAGCGTTAGCGCTATCAAATGGGTGACTAAAGAGTATGTTTGTGATTAGCTTAGAGGGACTAACTTGTGCCTTTATGGAAAGTGCGTCAACCTGCGTGACGCCATTTTTCTATTTGATTTTTTGCCCTAAATCTAAGAGTCCGAATATAGTGTCAAACTGACAGCTTGAAATTTAGGTAAATAAACTAATCATCCCTATTAATGTTATGATATAATGTTAATGATGCAAAAAGATACTACTAAATACTACTACTACTATTTGCCGAACAAGACACTCGCATTTGAAAAAAGTATTTTATCCAACTAATTTGAAAGTCATCTGTGAACATTGAAATTTATAATAGCGTCTAAAATATGGGTTTGCGTGTACATGGTGGAAGATTTTTAGTACTTACTGTGAATTGGCGTAATTCATTTTAAATCTGTGCCGCACTCAGTACCTATTTCATCCAGCTCATAGTCCAGATTGAATGTGATTTACAGACATTGGGTAAAATGTTCTTGTCAGATTTTTTTCTACACGAGAGACAACAGTTGCCATAAAAATAAGCTGTTGTTTTTTCTATGTCCATTCGTTCATATCGGAATCAGACCGAAGCAATTCTTTCTATACAAAAGATATATTTTTTTGTGTGAAACTGGAAGATTGTTATCTTCACCAGCTGCAAATATGGAATAATATATTAATAGTGAATACTCCGATTTTTTTTGAAAATAAAAGTTTGATACGCAACACATGATCATCTGTTTCATTCGCTCACTCTAGTATCGCACTCACACTAGGTACCGAGTCAGTAGCATTTTATGTCGTCGTCGATCAGAAACTTTGAAAGGTATGTAACAAATGAATATTTTCAGTCATCTTGAATGTATACTTACGAGTTGTACTATTAAACATAACGATATTATGTTTGATTCAACATTTTTTTAATCTTTTGTTAATAAAATATTGCGACTTGAAAACATATTCGAACGGGCATAGAAATCCAAATATGACAGTCATTAGTGCCTCATTATGTTCGCTAATCCATGGCCCGTCTATAACTTCCGGTCCAGTTGCGGCGGTATGAAGACCAAAAAACGGAAAAAAAATTGAACCGTTTTCGACGTTTCAGAGGCTGCTGACCATTTACAGAAATTTTTTGAGTGGTTAAAAATCAAGGGTTGAGGGTTGTAGACGATATCTCATTTCTTCCCGCCAGTATATTTATATGCTTTCAATTCCGGCTTACGCACCTATTCCGGCCCTGCTTATTAATACATATTTCACACATCATATATTTTCCCGTATATTTGCTCTTAAAACTATTTTTTGTAAAAAATATTACAGACGCTACTCGTGGAGGGTCGGTACAATGACAACCTTCATGCGCCAGTCTTTGTGTGCGTTTGACTGCATCGTTGGCGTTCTCGATCTAGAGGTATAGTTTCGTTACTGGCGATTATGGCATGGTTGACTGGTGTGGTTCAGCACCCTTGCCATTTGGTCATACATAGGGCGGAGAAGGATGTAGCGTTAGCGCTATCAAATGGGTGACTAAAGAGAATGTTTGTGATTAGCTTAGAGGGACTAACTTGTGCCTTTATGGAAAGTGCGTCAACCTGCGTGACGCCATTTTTCTATTTGATTTTTTGCCCTAAATCTAAGAGTCCAAATATAGTGTCAAACTGACAGCTTGAAATTTAGGTAAATAAACTAATCATACCTATTAATGTTATGTTGTAATGTTAATGATGCAAAAAAGATACTACTAACTACTACTACTACTATTTGCCGAACAAGACACTCGCATTTGAAAAAAGTATTTTATCCAACTAATTTGAAAGCCATCTGTGAACATTGAAATTTATAATAGCGTCTAAAAGATGGGTTTGCGTGTACATGGTGGAAGATTTTTAGTACTTACTGTGAATTGGCGTAATTCATTTTAAATCTGTGCCGCACTCAGTACCTATTTCATCCAGCTTGTAGTCCAGATTGAATGTGATTTACAGACATTGGGTAAAACGTTCTTGTCAGATTTTTTTCTACACGAGAGACAACAGTTGCCATAAAAATAAGCTGTTGTATTTTCTATGTCCATTCGTTCATATCGGAATCAGACCGAAGCAATTCTTTCTATACAAAAGATATATTTTTTTGTGTGAAACTGGAAGATTCTTATCTTCACCAGCTACGTCACGTAATAGAAACATTCAGTAGCTGAGCTTATCTTTTGGTTGTTTTTCTAATCCATCATTCTATTTCCCTTTTCAGGAAAGAAATTAAGAGTTGGCGGTAAGCTTCATTGACGTTTCGTCTGCTACGCGAGTAAGTTACTTTGAATTACCTAGTTGTGACACCCATATCATCATTAGATGAAAATAACCAAATATGGAATAATATATTAATAGTGAATACTCCGATTTTTTTTGAAAATAAAAGTTTGATACGCAACACATGATCATCTGTTTCATTCGCTCGCTCTAGTATCGCACTCACACTAGGTACCGAGTCAGTAGCATTTTATGTCGTCGTCGATCAGAAACTTTGAAAGGTATGTAACAAATTAATATTTTCAGTCATCTTGAATGTATACTTACGAGTTGTACTATTAAACATAACGATATTATGTTTGATTCAACATTTTTTTAATCTTTTGTTAATAAAATATTGCGACTTGAAAACATATTCGAACGGGCACAGAAATCCAAATATGACAGTCATTAGTGCCTATTTATGTGACAGGTAATATGCCAGATGATTAGTACTTGCTACTATTTATTTTGATAAAGTGTGTGATTTTTATTTCTAGTTTATTGTTTATTTTTTTTATTCCACCTAAGCAAAAAAAATGAAGTCTACAAAACAGACAGCAGTCTCATATGAGCTCATGTCTATTTTTGTTGCTTAAATTATGCATTAACTTCATATTCCAAATTTTGGGCACCATTTCCATACTAATTTGTTATTTTGTGTTTCGTTTGTGATTTTATTTTGATAATTAATATATTTAAATGAAACTGTTAATTAAACTGTTTTCATTTCTATTTAATTTTCTTTTTATATTCCTAGCACTAAATGGTATTCCATATTTGGTTTCTTTCCTCTGTTACCGGTAACAAGTAAATTAAAAATTACAAACAACCAGACTGAGTAACTAAACAGAATGAAGATTTAATTGTGGTATCAAAACGAATGTAAGAACATCCAAAATCTCACAATTCATCAACCTCATCAAACTGTAACCCGTGAAATAGAAATTTCACAGTTGAAGGTTGCACTTAAATACCGTCATTTTGATTTTATATAAATATATCCACTGTCACTAGCACTGTTAAGGCCTAGAGACACCTCATTTGACAAGACCCACCAATCCGTTTAACCTGTACCCCGTGAATTAGTAATTTCAAAAATTACCTTTTTTTTATTAAAATCTGCCATATTGTTTTTATAAAATTCTCTAACAGACAGTATCACTCGCACCTTATATTTCAAAATCCATCCAAACGACTGGCCTGCAGCCCGTAGAATAGAACTTTTTGTCCGCATACATGCATACATTCGTAAGAAAAAAAACGTCTGGTAATAAAAAAATTATGTGTTTCGTTGATCAGTTTATGTTCCTGCTGGTCAGCACTAAAAAGGTTTCCTGCTTCGATTGGCGGTGCCTGCAGCGTGTGCATCATGCATCTGTGCTGTTGCAGCTGCCCAAAATGCAATTATAATACCAACGGAGACCATCGAGTGCCATTCGATGCATTATTCAACCGTTTTGGCCGCGTTATCTGACTAGAGATGGGTAGATATTGAATTGGCACAGTGAACTAACATTCCGCAGGTTCAATTACATGGTTGTCTGGACGCTAAGTGAAACCATATATGTTTGAATTTCTTCTTTTTACTAACGTTTCGGTCACCACATTGGACTTTTCAAGGTACAACTGTAAATCGTAATGATGGGGGGACGGGGAACGGGACTGTTCAGGCTATTGTTGCAAGGCAATGTTCAAGGTATTCTCAAAGCTGGAACTTTCCTTTATAGAGCGTATAGGCCAGACAATAATGAGCATGTTTTTCAGTAACATATACACCAAAGCTTCAAGATAACCGAGATATTAGGTTCCAAAAAGCAATAAATGAACCAGTACGATCCTGCCACCCTCCCCTCTCACAATTCTTTTATACGTTCAAACCAGGTGTCGCGTTATGTCTAGGTTAATCTAGTTTATAAACCAACCGCATTTGAAGAACCGAAATATTCACATTACTATAGCAATAACGTAGTTAGCGATTTGATATGAGAATTTCCAAGATCCTGTTGGTACTCCGCGAGTGTTCTCAGAATGTCGTCCTTGATGTTTCTTTGCATCAGAGCTGCCTATGTTTATTTATATTCTGAAAAGCCGTCTGGTTGAACACAGCTGAAGACCCAGACAACCCCAAATGTTGCAAATTTAGGAAGAAGTAAACAAACTCGGGTTTTTGAATCAAACAGCGACAACTTTCAGCAGTGCTTACAAACAAATCATGCGACAGGTCAGTACATGAAATTCATTACCAAATGAATAGTGAGTATGTTTATTCAATTTATTTTTTACCAACCAACTTTTAGGACACCCTGTATAGTATCGACGAAAAGAAAAAAGGCAAACAACAGTTCTGGAGGGCTTTCGCGTTCTTGGAGGACTTTTGGTATTTTCGGGACTTTGAGAGACGGTGACGTATCTTTGGGACTGTTCGTCTTTTTGGAGCGTGAATGTCTACCCCTGGCATTCCCGCACTTGAGGGTTTTAGATCGAAATAGGGCGACACTTGAAGCGTGTCTCCAATGGTAGTACCATTGGAAAATACCCTCGTGGGGTTGCGGGAATATCGGTGCGGGTATTATAGCAGTTTTATCGAAGTTGAGTTTTGCGGCTTATTCGGAACTCTAGCGATTTTAGCGAATTTCTTACTTTCGAGGTTAGCGATGAAATGCGAAGACACCCCGCCGCAAGAGGGCAGACCATTCTTGCGCGGTAGTAGAATGGACTGAATAATAGTATACTTTAAAAAATGAACTCTTTTCTTCAGCTTGTGCTTGAAACATCTTGCATTCCCATCTCTACCTATATGATTCGCGGATCGGCGGAGGCAATCCGCGGCGCAAGCAATCCGCTGTTGAGGAATGCTCCGGAATTCCGGATGAGATTGCGCGACAGAACCGTACGAAGAATTCAAAGTTATTTAGTGGCTGCGGGCGGAGTTTCTAGAAATGATAAGAAGTATCTGTGTTGTTGATGGCTATGTATGGAAATTCAAAAGAGGTTTACTGCATTTCTGGAAGCGAAAGCAGATTCAAAATAGCAAATCTATGAAATATTCGACTATCCCGGAAATTTAGCAACCATACATTTTTTTCGAAAAAACGTCCCCACCAAAGTTTCAGGAGATCAAAAAGGCGTTCATTGATGACCTTTAAAATGGCCTAGGTAATGACATCAGAGGTCACTTGGACGTCTATTTAGTAAATTTAAATTGCACCTACTATTTTTGACAGCACATTCGTAATCTACTCAAAATTCTACATGCAAAGGGTACTATAAAAGTTTTGCAATATGACTTAACAGTCGGACGCAGGAGGCTGCATGTCTGTTGATTTAGTTGTTCATTCTTTTTTTCAGTGTAAAGTGCGGACTGTGGCATCGTGGTCACGTAGTGAGATAAGGGATAACTCTACGCGTGGTTTAAGCATAGATCAATGCTTAGAAGAAATGACATTTGTATTAAAGGATGATTGTCCTCATCGCACGACTATAGTCAGGTGGTACAGAGAATTCCAAAGCAGCAATTTCACTCTGGAGGACGCTGAGAGGGAAGAAAGGCCGCGTACGTAAGTAACAGAGGAAAATTTTACTGCTGTGAGGAAAATGATTGACGAAGACCTTCATGCTCTAGCAATTCATTCAATTCTGCATGACCATTTAGACGTAAGAAAACTTTATTCTCTCTGGGTACCGCATAGTTGGACGGAAGAGCAGAAAACTCGTCGTACGATTTGTTGCCGAAAGATGCTGGAAATGTTTGATAAGGAGCAATCTCGGTATGTGAACAGCATCGTGACAAGACTTGGCTCTATTATTACGATGTGCGGATCAAGGCTCAAAACAAAGTTTGGGTTTTTGATGATGAGGACACACCCGTTGCTGCTGATAATCCCGATCTGTTAAGAAAAAAATGATAGCTGTATTTTTCAAATCGAGCGAAATTGTGGCAGCGTGTCGTTTTGGACACACAGAAGACAGTCACAGCTAAGTGGTACACGGAACAGTGCCTGCCTAAAGTCATAGAGTCTATGAAAAACCTGCGGCCAAAGTGAAGAATGGACACTTATTACCTCCACCACGACAACGCTCCAGCTCACCGCGCCAAAGCCTGTACCGAGTATTTGACCACTACTGAACTGAAACTTATTCAGGAGCCTCCTTATAGTCCAGATCTTGGTCCATGCGACTTTGCCCTGTTTCCGCATGTGAAAATGAATCTAAAAGGAAAACGGTTTTCTAGCGATGAGGACCTTCTGAGGGCTTAGGACAACAGTGCCCCGTACTACCGGGTGAAACTGGGCAGAGCTGGTTTAAGGACTGGTTTTGGCGGATGGTGTAGTGAATGTGGTTGAAATTACTTTGAACGAAGTCAATAACTAAAGCTGTATTGCAAAACTTTCATGGTACCCTTTGTATAAATGCATATTAACATTTGAACCCAGCAATCATAAGTACATTAAAATCACGGAAACCTGAATACAGCGCATTTGTTTTGAAAGAGAGTTCAAACAAAAGCTTCAGGAAATTAAAAAAAGGAGCCAGCGAAAAGGAGAAGTTAATTATTGAATGATTGGAAATATAACAGTATTCTAGTAGTGGAGAACTTTCTGTGTCAGAAATACTAGTAATGCCGTCATTTAGCTGATATTATTTTGTTCGTATAGCAGGCGTACAAAATACTTTTTGATTTAGATAGTATGTATACGAGTAAAGTGAATAAATACTGAAGCTGAAATTTGTAAATCCTCTGCTGAATGTGCAGAAGCCATGAATCAAAAAACAGTTACACTTAAAGACATTTTTTTCCTTGATATAAAAAAGCCGTTTCATAAAATATTTCGGGGCTCGTTTTGATTACAGTTATAAAGCTGAACGGAATACATTTTTAACTTTAATGGGCTGTCATATTTTCTTGGATTTTCAATAAAAGATGTGGCGTAGCGCCAAAATACCGAATCGTCGATTACATTAAATTGCATTCCAGGGAAAATTATAAGGTTACTTTAGTGTAAGTAACGGAGAGAAAATATCCATCCATGAACTTTTGAAAAAGCTACTTATGCTTATTACGTATAGACTTGTACATCGTAAGGGCTGAATATTCAAGCGTTTTATTTTTTACTAAGTATTGTTGCTTATGGACTTAAACATTATGCTAGAAATGGTTCAATAACAACTGAAAGGTATTAGGATTGCTGGATGCATTGTGATAATCACACTTGATACGGAATTGCCGGATTAAAATGTAAACACATCTTTAAGAATACATAACATATTGAACACCTAGAACAAAGCTAAAATGTGATATGTATTTTTTGTTTTGTATGTTCTATCTTAATATTGTGTCCAATAAATCCATTTTTATTTATTTTGTGCTCGCATTTATTCTTAAAAAACATTAAATATTGTATGTCGTAACGGTAGGAATGTAAAAGAGAAATGGAACATTATACGGTAACCTTTGGCAATCACTTAGTAATTTGTTATTAGAGATAACTTTGAGTTGCTTTGAGTGAACGGCGCTCAAGGGTGGAATAAGATTATTATTTTTGCCCAGTGACATGATCCGTTTTGAATCGGAAATATTAATCCTATATTAACAAAAACGTCGTACATATAAAAGTGTGATTCAAAACATTGTCGTGACTGGTTCAACTTGCAAAAATGACAAAAAAATTAGTTTTGAACCCCTCAAAGATATAGTGTATGCATTTGCTCAAAATGATTAGAAACTTGACGAGCCTTTAAATAGAATTGAATATTTTCAAAAATATTTGGCCGTCTAATAAAACCATAAAGATAGATCTGTTATTGCAAGCGTTGACAGAGAATAATCAATACATAAAGACAAACAAAAATGCGGTTATGTGGAAAGCGCAAAAGCAAATGCCACCTCAGCTTTATACATTTAGCGATTGAAAGACATATTCTAGTATTATTATTAAATTACAGACATGTTTAATGGCCCTAGATTCATAAAACCTCTAAAAACTCATTACTGCTGGTTCAGAAATGTCTGTGGTTGTTCTATTCTTTTTGACTTATGCAGTTAGTTACGCGAGACTCAAAACCTAATGGAAACTACTACACAACTGCAATATTCAACTGAACCCGCTGTTTCAAATTTGACTGTCACGATTGGGATCTCGGAAACGGAAATATGTCCCAAGATGGTTAAGTTGCGTATTTGGGCAACTAAGAAAATGTGATGTAGAAAGTTTCGCAAATGAAAGTATTTCCAGATATGGACGAACAAATCTCGAATTTTCCCAAAATCGTTTTTATTTTCTCTGACCCTATTTGAGGTGGGATTACAAAATACATTTCACATTGATATTCCCACTTTTGAATGTGGCGTTTTGTTTTTTGACCTAAATCATCAACTCGTGGGTGCCATATTGGATTTTTCAATAGGCGAATACAGTTTTTAATCCTGACTAAAACATGTGTAATTGGCATTGCCAAATCTCATTCACTCTACAAACGCTGTTTCCCTAGTTGGCATCAAAGGTGACAGCTTATCACATGCTCATTCGCCTTTATCAACATTTGCTTCAGTATTTGAGAAACGTGTTTCAAGGACATTTAGAGAATTTTATTAACTATAACATGCGTTATCTTAGCACGGTGGAGCCTTCCTACATGATACCTCAGCCTTCGATTAATATTGTTTAACTGCAATATGTGTACAGCGGTTTAGGTATGGCTGATGTGGAATGTGTTCACAAGATAAAATGATGTTGATTGAGCACAATAAACCAAAAGTCATATTGAAATTAAAATTATGCTACCTTGCAGAAAAGTCCCAAGGTTAATGTGCAATTTATTTTGATATCCCACCTCAAATAATGTCAGAAAAAACTATCTTGTAAAATTTTGGTTTTTCGTCTATGTTCCGAAATACTTCAAATTGCGAAACTTAAAGGTGTCATCTTCTCAGTTACCTAAATACGTCCCCATTTAACCCACTTCGTATTTCTGACATCCGAGGTGGTAAGCTAGAAAATTCACAATTACATGGAAAGGAATTTAAGGAATTTCCTAGTGAAAAATGTTAGAAGAATTATATTGATTTATCAATCTAGCAAAGAACCTACTTCCGAATTTGGTAGTATACAAGACAGTTACAAAATCCAGGAAAACTGCTTAACAATCCATGAAAACATGAGATTTAAGTTCAGATCACTTTGAATCATACATACAGAAGGTTTTTTGCACTTTTAGACTTCGTGCATATTTGGTAACTTGATCCATCCTTTACAAGTAAAGCTTGTCCTCCTAGAGATCGTTCTATATAATTATAAAACTAGCTTATCACGTGGTTGGCTATCACTGGCGTGATATTGTATGTTACAAACTGAAACTCACTTTAAGCTTTTGATTTCAGCTCTCATCTCTATGACCTCCTTGCTCTCATACACGCTCCGTCTGACATTCTCTTCAATGCTTCTCATATCATCTCGCCTTCTCTCCAGCAGCTCCTTCACTTGTTTGCTCAAGACGCGCAGTTCCTCCCGGAATCGCCCTGAATCACTAGTACCATCCACTATCTCATTGCTGTCACTATAATGCGCGCCAAACGCGTGTTGCGGTAAGAGTGACGCTGCAATCAGCAGAACCACACGCGCTGTATTCCCGATCATGGTACCGGTACCATTGGGTGCCATGCGCGGCGTGTTCATCGGTTTTATACAGCCGTACCGCAACGAGGTGCCAACGCGGTGAGGCGCGTGCGTGCTCCGAGTAAGGGCAGGTGCAAAATTTTGATCGCTACCCGTGTGTGTTGTTGTGCGGCTGTGTCCGGTGGTGGCCAGGTACGGATTTAGAAATAATGTTATTCGATAGTGAATTCATTAAAAAAAATGGCCTAAAGTAGCTTGACGCTGCACTTCCTGCGCAACGCTGTCATCAGTAGTATGTTTGGCACAAGTTGGCGCCTCGAAAAAAGCTCGATACGAACATGTATAATAAAAAATAAATTGATCAAGTTAGTCAAACACACTCATACAATTAAAATTTGCATAGTTAGTATGTCATTCTGTACCATTTTGTGGATATTTGGGATTTGGCTCCCTGAGAAAATATGCTACCACTCGCTTTTCAGAATGTTTCGGAGGCAGATATGCTTTCATACAAAGTTATCCCGTTGGATGGCACTCCCCATTCCAAGGAGAAAAATTCCTGAGAGCGCACATGATGGAAACTGTGTATATCTGGCGTGGATGATGGTCGACCGTCCACACCAGTGTTGCCAAACGTACCAGAAATCTCGTACATACACGAAATTTTTTGTTTCTGAACGAGATTTTAAAAATGATGACTACGCACACAACGTTCTGTGGAAAAGTATAATAATGCATGCAGATATGACCATCGATGGCAAACATGGATGTTTCAGGAACAGATGAGTTTTCTAATTCCATGTCCAATTCTTACTATTAGCTTTTGCAGTTGAGTTGGCCCAGTAGGTCAATAGATGGTCTGTCAAACATAATCACGTCAAGGACTCTCAATACGGTCGATTTGTCGCCTTTCTTTTGCTGCAAAAATAGATCTTCATTTCAGTAAATGTTTATACCACTGAATCATATTAACTCTAAATACTCCCATTTTATACTTCGCAATTCATCATAGTACAGACTATTAGCTAGCGCGTAACATTGGTTTATATTGCCTTATAGGTTATGTTTAGAACTTAACCTTATTTTTATTTTGCTCCTGAGTTACTACCAATTTCTTCTGTGTCAAAGACAGCAAACGACCCGCTTCTCCGCGCCTATAAGCTCCATGCGAACCGAAGTTCTAAGTATATACGCGCCACACAATGTTCGAGAAGTTTGTCATCTCTGGTACGAGAAAAACGTCTTGGCGCCTGGCAACCCTGGTCCACACCCATTCGAACAGCGCGTCTGACTGCTACACACACATGTATCGGCGAGGGTAGGAAATTCTTCATCATTTTAAGTTCTGTGCCCCTATTTTTGACTTTAATAGAAAATTACACTCCCACTCTATTTCTGCTCCCCCGGTTTTCTATCGATTTGAGAATACTGAATTCTTGAAAGGACTTGATAGAAAGGAGAATGGAAATCAAGGCACAGGGGTGCCAGGTTTGAGTAAACGTGTTAAACCAATCAAAATGTAGATGATTTTGACAGTAAAAAACTAACCAAAGTTTTTGGTTAAGATTTCCTCCTTATAGTTTTATCTATGGAGCCGAAAACTATAAAAAAATACAAATGATCAAAAGGACAAAATGATTGAATTTCTCCGAGAGCACCCCCGAATGCATCAGGGAAAATTCAATCATAGGTTAAAAGATACTGTGTTAGAATGACTAAAACTTAATATCTGCTTTGGGGGTGGTTGTATGAATGGAGTCTCTAGTAATTCATACACCAAATCTTTGGTCAACCTAAACATCTGTACAAATTTTCGATCCGAAATTATGATAGGATCTCGGTGCCCAAGAATAATTCTCCCAATCTCCCATTCCTCAACTGCCTCCTCTACATCCTCGTTAATATCTTTCCAATACCTAAATTGATTGAAGTTATCAATTTTTCGCAATATGTTTAGCAGGAACGGCAATAACAATGCCAAACACGTCAATTTTTAGGTTATATAGCGCTATTTTCTACTAATTTTTCCAGTTTCTCTTGGTCGGTACCAAGAGAAATCGCGACTCCCTAAAGTGCATTCATTTCTATCACTTTTCGGAGGAACTGATTTCAAGAATACTGCATTTCTCTGCCACACCCAGTTTTTGCCACTTCTTCTCACAATTTCTACTGCCTCAAACTCAAGAATAGAGATCCTGTAGACAAATTTACGGAAATTTCGATTATGAGTGGAATATCTAATAGGTGCGTAGAATCACCGCGGCTGGAGTATACCGACGTCAAAATTTGGGAAATATCCTTCCCCTCTCCTACAACCCCCACTCCTAGGTTTTCACCTATTTTTTACCTATTTTGCCCTTAGCTGCGTCGCTTCTGGACTAATTTTCAAAAACAGACACACATGCAGACAGACCGAGGAAAATGAGTGACTTGGTTTTTCTCGATGTACATGTCATATAACATCAAAAAACATCATAGCTCATTTTCGATATGTTTTGCGATTAGGATGTCAACTTGTTAAACTTAAACTTGATAAAAGGAAGTATTTTACTTTCTTGATTGTCAAGTCTGACATTTGATTTCATAGCCAACGTTTGAATTTTCGATAATTTTAAATAACATCTGCAATACGTACTTTCAGTTATTAAGGTTTTTGTGGAAAACGACAGTTTGAAAGGATCTATCTGAATGTGCATTTTTAAAATGGAATGTTCCGTATTTTAGCTCATTTTTGGATAGATCCTGAAAAGAAAGAAAGATTGATATAACAATTATTTGGACTATTTGTTGTTACCTGTCTCAAAAAACGTAAATATAGTCATGTCTTTTCGAATATTACATTGGTTGAAGATGGAATCACAGTTTGTTTATGCTATGTTGTTTGTCCATAAAATATTTCGCACAAAACAGTCACTGAATATTTTAGATAACCTGCTAGGAAGAGGTAACATTAATCAGAGAAAACTCAAACATAACCTACATTTCTGCGATGCCAGTCCACTACTCAGCCCTTTTCCAAAAAAGCTAGCAAAGCTCCTGGAATGGCGTCCCTTAGTTCAATTTTCTGTTATCTATCACAGATATGAAAGTTTCAAAATATTCCCAAATATAGTAGGAGACGTTTGCCGGGACCAAAAAATCCAAAAGATACTCGTATCTGGCTGAGGAGATTTTTTTTCTAGTTCTACTAACCTTTTGGTAGCGTTGCTTACACAAGGAAAGGGTGGCGATACATAATTTCTCTCATTCTGAATTTACCAACAAAGCTAATGCACCGTTCAGCTTGGTTTTGAAGTTTTTGAGGGGTGAAATACCACTTTGCCTGGGATAGACAACGTTTATTATAGCTGTATATAATTTAGAACTGATTAACTTCCACAAAATAAGGGGAGATCTCTTTGAGAATCGTCCAAATTACTGACACTCAAAGAACAAAGGAGTTGTAAATATCGCTAATACCTGTTTTATTATCGGCAAGAGCAACTGCAATGTGCGCACAACGAAATAGCTGATTTTTTTGCAACTGCCGGTGTCTTGCATGCAAATCAGTTGTATTTTTCATGCAAGTTTCTCTGCAATTCTGGTGGAATAGTTCCTAACTTAGAAGTTACCAATGCATGCAAATGACCCTATGCCAGTCCGGTGGCTTGTGAGGTTATCATTAATTGTTAACAGATATAAGGTTTGATTGTGTTTTGATGTTGGGTAGTTGGCGAGTGAAACTAGTTTTTGGTTATTAAAACCATGTTTTCTAAAGGGTAAAAAACCAAAACCAAAATTATAGGTTAGGAATGTGACAGGGGATACTTCATTCATTTGGGTTGGCTAACCTTGCTCGTTTAAATCGAGGAAACAGGGCTGTTTTGCAACTGCAAGTGCTTTGATGCAATTGTCTTGCAGACAAAGCAATGCCGTATTGCAAATGCAAGTGCTCGCTAGCAATGGTCTTGCGAACTGTAAAATGGTTAAAATGAATTTTAAAGTTTTAACTCAATCGAAATGGCAATAGAGGCACAAATCAAATTAGACCCTTCCTAACTGATGTCTCATCCTATTGAACGTTGCCTCCCTTGATTCCTGAAGTCCAGCATACAGAACGTTCCAGGCTAAGATATATGTTAAAGATCTTGGATATAGAATACAAAAATAAAGCCACAGGTTTCTATAAAAAACGTACTCGATAACGGGGCTACGAACCTCTCAAGTGCGATATTGGGACCGGTTTTTCAAATAAATCCTCAGCCTCATCAGATTTGCCTTATGTAAAGCTCTTAGAGAGACAATGATGAACTGCTGCCACAGTATAGGTTACTTTTCACGTTCTATCTATTATCATCAACTTAACGATGTGGCCAAAGGCACACACCTATTCGACAATCCACCTCATTCTAGGGCGTCCTATACGTCTTCGTCCTTTTGGCTTATATTTAAAGGCCATGCCAAGAGTACGCTTATTTTCAATTCTTGGTGCATAATGGGAGCATTTCTGTCGAATTTAATGTTGGCCGATTGTATTCGACTTTTATCGCGTTTTTTAATGACCTCATAATCATACAACAGAGTATGACAGCCTTTTTAGTAGAGTATCTTGTCTGCACTGGCTTACATGTCTTCTTAATATGCCGCACATTCTGTTTTGGGCCGTCACCTTGTTGAACTCATTGACTGATGTAAATGTCCTTCACATCGTCGTATTTGTCTCTGTCATTCAAAATTATTGCGGTGCGTCTGAAAGTAATTTTTGATAGCTTTTGTAAGATGGCCATTCGTTTGCTCGTATCGAATATCCCTCAGCTTCGTTCTTATGACTTTTGCCAAATCGACAAATGCCATGGAAGTTGGTACGTTCTGCTAACTCTTTTTTCCAGTGACCGCGGGTTCTCCTAGTCTCCTAGTCAAGGTTCCAGTTAGCGGGTGCCAACTGGGATCTTGGTCTAGGGTACCTGGCTTTGCGGTTGCGAGGCCTCTCGTCCGGATCGTAGTCCATGAGGAGTCGTAGCTGCTCGTTCGGGTGGTCCTGAGCTTTCTGGAAGGTCTACTCCGCTTTTTTCCTCATGTACTCGTGAATGGTGTCCCAATGCAGGTCTCTACGCAAGGTTGAGTTTCTTACGTAGGATGGTGCACTGGTGGCAATCCGGAGTAGCTTCATCTCTAGAGCAGCAAGTCGCTTGCGGTAGCTGGGGGCAACGTACCCCCAGACCACGGAGGCGTAAGCGAGCTGAGGTCTGGCGATGTCCTTGATCAGCCGTAGCTTGGTCGCTAGCGGCATCCGGCTGTGTCTACCCAGTAATGGGTAGAGTTGGGCCATGGCTGCTCTGGTCTTTGCGATGACAACTTCTATGTGGTCTTTCCAGATATTTGACTTTGTCGCTCCACTTGATATCTTCGTCGAAGATGGATGCTTCTTCGTTGGATGAAGATTGCCTGCGTCTTCTGGACGTTGATGCGGATTTTCCATTTCACGCACCAGTCCTGGATGTGGTAAAGTTCATCCTGTAGTCTCCTACGGATGATCTCGGGTCGTCGATTCTTGGCGGCTATAGCAGGGTCGTCTGCATATAGGGCCAGCATTGTGTCAGCTGTCTTCGGTACGTCGTGAGTGTAGATGTTGTAGAGCAGGGGGGCTAAGGCTGACCCCTGGGGCACGCCTGCTTCCAGCTGTCGTCTTGTTGAGTGGCATGAACCAATCTTCACCGTGAACCATCTTTGTGTTAGATAGCTCTGGATCAGTTGGCACATGTTTGCATCGATTCCGGCGGCTTCCATTTTGGCGATGAGTCCATCGTGCCAAACTCGATCGAAGGCTCGTTCCACGTCCAGCAGGGAGAGGCCGGTTGCCTCCTGGAGGTTGAAGCCACTGGTGATGTTTTCTGTCAGTCGTAGCGCTTGGAGTTCCGTGTTGTGGGAGGATCTGAAGTCGAATTGCTCTGGGGGGAGAAGTTCCAGTTCTTCTGCCTGCTTCTCTAGTCGAACGGCGATAGCCTTTTTGACTACTTTGCCCATCGAGGAAACCAGGCTGATGGGCCGGTAGTTTTGGGGCAACTTCCGGTCCTTACCTGGCTTGGTGAGCATTATAACCTGGGCTTCCCGCCACCGCCGCGGGAAGTGGTTAAGTCTCAGAGTGGCATTGGCGATGTTGGTGAGCGCAGCAATGCCTTTGGAGGGAAGGTTCTTCAGCATCCTGTTGTTGATGCCGTCCCTTCCCGGCGCCTTTCTGACCTTCAACCTGCGGATGATCAGACGGATTTCCTCTGGACTGGAGGGGTGATTCGTCTCCTGGCCAGGTGGTAATTTAGTCTGCATTCGGATTCTAGCGAATCGGCGAATGCTACGGCTTTTTCTTCACTGGAGTAGGCCGTGAAGAGTGGGGATCGTGGTGCGCTGACGACGAAATTTTCGCTGCATGGTCCAGGCCGTACCATCCTGGGTCTCTAGTTCTGCACAGGCTGCATTCCATCTGCTGTTTTGGAGTTCCGGGAGTGCGTTCTTCAGAGCTAGCGATGCTCTGTTTCGCGCAACTCTCGACTCCTCTGTCAACAGCTGGAAATGTTCTCGCTTGAGTCTTCTGTTCTCCCTGATCAGTTGCCTAATATGGTGCGGTGCTGGACCATTTAGGTGTCTAGGAACTGCCGTAGTCTCGGAGTGGGTGCTGTCCTCGTGCGCTCGTAGGACAGCATTCTCCAGCTCCTCTACTGCGTTGTCCAGTTCCTCCGCTGATCGGATGATTGGAATTTGGGTGATATTCCTTTGGACGTTGGATTTGTAGTGGTTCCAGTTCGTCCGTTTGGTGCTCAAGCTATCTCGAGTTGTAGACCCTATGCCAAGTGTTAGTAGGATCGGATTGTGGTCCGACGATCCTTCCACCAGGGTTTCTATCTCGAACTCATCTCTGATGTTGCGGAGGATGGCTATGTCCAGTACCGCAGGTCGCCCAAGGCCGAATGGAATGTAGGTTGGTTGCTCCGGACCGACGATGACCCCCGCCAGGGCATCGACGTGTTCTTGGAGCTGCCTTGCATTCCTGTCTTCGACGTTGTTGTTCCATGCCGGAGACTTGCAGTTTAGATCTCCGATGACTATGCGTGCTCCTGGGCCTCTCAGGAGGTCAGCGATGTCATCTTCGTCTAGGGCCTCCTCTGGTGGCACATACAGGGAGGTGATTCTCTAGGGACGGTGGTTGTGATGGACCTGGACCGTGATTCCGTCCCCATTGATGTCTGCGGCGTCGTCGAGGACATGACTCATCAGGGTACGTTTGACGAGTAGTGCGACTCCTCCACCTCTGCCTCTTCTGTCGTAGCGGTGCGTCTCGTACCGCGGGAACGTCAGTCTATGGGCAGCGTCCAATTTCGTTTCTTGGATGGCCATCACCTTTGGTTGGTACTGGTCTAGTATCTCCTGGATTTCTGGTTTCCGTGCCCTGAATCCGTTGATGTTCAAGGAGATTATGCGTAGAGATTCCACGTTTTGCCCTGTTGTCATTGGTGGTTTAATGCTTGTCTTGCATCTTGGACCCGAGTGCATCCAGGCGGGTTATGATGGCTTGCATCATAGCTAGCAGTCTGTCATCGCCGTGCTGCTTCTGCGCAGTAGTTCCAGTAGCAGTGGCGGCTGCTGGGGCAGTTTTCTTCGCTTTTTCAGCGTAAGATGTCCTATTTGAGGTGGAGGCTGCTTTGGGGGCAGCAGCAGTTTTCCTCGGGGCCTTACTACATCCTTTGTAGTTTGCTGGGTGTCCTTCTCCGCAAAGGCAGCACTTGGCATTTCGTTGCCCTGTTGGCGGCGTCGGCAGACTGCAGTTGGTGCTGCTGTAGTCCTCACCACGCACCGTTCAGCGAGACGGCAGTTTCGCTGCGTGTGCCCGTACCGCTGGCAGCGGTAGCATTTTCTGGGCTCGGTCGATCTCTTTTTCTTCTATAAGCTGACCGTGAGCATGGCCAGCCTCTGGACCTCCTGCAGCTTTTCCGCCATCCTCGTCTTCACGAGGAAGAGCGGTAGCGGCTGCTTGGTGTTTCTAGTCTTCAACTGTTGAACCTCGGCGTCTGCGATCCCTTGGCTCACTAGATCCTCTTTAATGTTCCTCAGTGGACATCTCCCTGGGTAGTCCTCGAATTACCCTTTGGTCCATCCTTTCCTCCTTCAGTTGGTAAGTGAAGAAGGGCCTCTTCATTGAGTCTAGCAGGGTGACTAGCTGACGGTAGTCTGCCGGTGTGTTGGTAAACACCTTCACACTGTTCCCTGCAGTCCTCGCTTTAGAGAATTGGATTCCCTTATTGTTGATCATCCTGCTTAAGGATGACCAATCAGCGGTGCCCTCGATGTTGATTGGAGGAACTACTGTTCCTGCCATGGGGGCCTCGATGGTCCTTGCTGCTCTAGGACTCTTCTTCTGGGTGGCAGCTGGCTTCTTTGGCTGCCTGGGTGCATCGTCGGAGGAGGAGGAGGAAACCCTCACTCTTTTCTTCCGCCTGGTGACGACACTGTAGTCCGTGTCGCTCTTGTCGGCTGTCCTCTTCTCTTCTTCTGTGTCGTCCAGTTGCTGGCTGTCCACTTCTTGGGCATCCATCTCATTGTCCGATGTGGTCTTCTGGTCCTCGTCTGCTTCTTCTGTTGGGGTCTTCTTTACCTTCCTCTTCGCCTTGAGGAGCTTCCCTTTGACTTCCTCCATCTCCTGTTTTCTGCAAGCATGGTGAAAGTATCTTCTTTCTGCTTTAGCTGACTTGTCAGCTTTTCGATTCTCGCCATCGTAGATAGCAATCGTATCGCGATGAAAATCGCAATAAGATCGCATAGTAAGTCCGGGTGGGCCGCAGTCGCACAAGTGTACATTCGCGACGGATGCTAGCTCGGAACTGTGATGGACGTGATGACGGAGTGCTTCTGAGAGCAAAAATGACTTTATGAGAATTGAAGAGTGGGCGGTGTAGTAAAATTCTCTCACTAGCTGGTTCAAAAGTTTATACGAATACCACTTAGACCAAAAACTCTAACAAAAGCCGGAAGCACCGAAAAAAGTCTGACGGATGTGTACACTATGTGTATTCGATAGAATATCATATTTATTCCCTATCAGACTTGCACACAGTAGAAAGCCTTTCACTTTCTTGTCTGCAACTAATAAGGGGCAAATACAGCCAAGTAAATTGGCAGTATGCCTACCTATCCATAGGGATAACGTCGCGAAAGTTTGCTCTGAAGTCTACTGGAAATATTGGAAATAGACTGGATTTGTAAATGATGGAGTGCTAGCGAAAATGTAGTATTGGGTAATTTCGAGAAAATTCATTTATAAAATTCCGATGGCAGGTCTCCTAAGGTATAGGTTTTCAATTCTATGAAATATAATATGTATGTTACCTTTGGCAAAAATTGCAAGCCGATGCTTTGGCCTATTCTTGGCGACTTTCGTTTCAGAGTGACGCTTTTTTTTTGCAAAATTGAAAGTAAATTTCTGGGTCTGAAAGCAGTTCAAATAATGTGACTCCATAGGGGAAGTGTAAAACACTAGGCTCGAGGAGCCCTTAAGTGATGTCGCACAATTCACCAACAACCATAGTGAACCATGTAAGTTATAATCTTGTGATGTTTGAAAGATTTCTTCAGCTACCTTAAACAATGATGTGGAATAGCTGGATGTGGTGCTTCCAAAGTTACGCACGCAAGAGCTTAAAAATCGTCCAGTAAGGAACTTCTATATGAAAATGAATGTATTTTAGATCTTGTGATACGTTTGAGGTACATAAGCGTCGAAGATAATTGAGATTGTGATAATTTCATTTTTAAGTTGCAGATTTTGCATGTACGTTTTGTCAATAAAACACCAATCTTCACAAACATTTTATAGAGCAGAATTTTGAATTAACTCACAGATAATAAAGCAGCTAGATATTATTATGTGGACACATTTGAGTTTGTTACTTGCCTATAGAAGCTACTAATACTGCTAACGCTTCTGTATGGAATACCGGATTTGAAGGTTCTAATCCTTGCGACCTACCCGTCTTTTTCCGCTTGTTCAGAGTTTTGCAATAGTACATGCTGTCATCTTCTGAAAATATGGTGTCACGCTGTCATCAGTTTGATAAATGGAATTAAGTGGATCAAGCCATTCAAATAGGTCCATACAATTAGTCCTCAGTCCCCACTCTTTTGACAATGTTGCAATCATCCTGCTCTATTGATCATCCGACCACATGGCGATCAGAGTAAACCACCAAAGGCGGCTGTTTAGCGACAAGTTTATCTAATATTTTCGTGCGATATTTCTAAGTCTAAGTCATTTTTCCGGGGAGATTTGCTTACGAAATATATCTAATTACCAGGGTTAAAAGCGAATACATATTTATATTCGCGCTAAATAATTGAGATGTACCTTTCCACGCCACCTGCAATTCCAGGTCTCACAATTTCCAAGCTGAGCAGGGGTCTCTAATACGCCAAAAATTTTTAATTTTCTTCGTTTTTTGCCCGTAGCTCTGTCATCGATTTTCTAAACTTTTTTCGTCGTTGGAATAGCAGAAATATGATTTCTTTGTGATGTACGTGTCATGTAACATCAACAAACATTTTCCTTTGCCAATTGGCATGGGAGGTAACTGATTAAGTAGTGCGCAGGGACGTGACAGCTGCTATCTAGTGTGCCAACGCTAATACATCCCACCTAACATCGAAGATGCAAAAAACCGCTTATGCCTTCTGGCTAGTTGTTTTCCAGTCTAACTTCATTGGGGTATGTTGATTCCAGGAGGAAAAGACGGAGACGTGCTTTCAGGTGCAAGTTTTCTCTTTAAAAAATTACGCATTTTTAAAGGAGAGTAACTAACTTTTATTGCTTGCGTGCCTTACTAAATCAAAAGTTCGTTGGAAACCTGCAGATTTTTTCAATCGTCTATGACTTGCTGAGTTTTACTAAAATTTTCAATTAAAGCAGAGCCTTGTGGAATTTTAATACGTAATTTGCGTTTTCGGCGGCTGACTTCGAAACTGGTGCCTTTTTTGTAATTGCTGCAAATTCTAACGAACTGACTTCCGCTCATCTTTGATGTATTTCATGCTTGGCTGCTTCGAAGTTCGAGCTCTTTCGTTCATTTTTGGTCTACTGTATTCTAAAATTTCTCACTTTAACCTGTCAGACTGTTATTTTCGCACAACGATCTGCCCACATTAAATAGAATTTTCATTCGCATAACTCTTTTGAAGATAAATTAAGCTTATTTCTTTGTTTTGAGAATGTATTATCTATTCTCATATAAGTTGCATCTAGAATTTCGGAAGATCTTAGAGTACGTTAAGAATGTATCTCATTTTTTCAAAAATATCTGATAAGTCTAAAGCAGCGCAGAGCCACCTTTCTTACCTTTAGACATCAACTTCGACTTGCTACTGGCATACTGATGGGACGTTGTCAGCAGAGATTGTAACCTTTATACATAATTAGGGAGCCGTCGAAAAAAGGTATTCATTCTATTATTAGCGCATGGTGGTAATACTGTTTGCAATGGCAGGAACATCATTGGCAATTGTAAAGAGACAAAAGTGTCAAAAAATTCCGGAACAACAATAATAAAAACGACATGATTTAGTAGCTATTTACTATGTGTAAAACTGGTGAAACGAATTCAAATAGATTAGGAGCCAAGCCATGCTTACTCAGCATTGTTTATTTGGCTACCAATGCCTACCAAAGTGACAGCGTTGTATCAACGCAGTAGTAATAGTACCGGTGGAAACATGTACCTTTATTAGGCTTGGTCCGCTTTTGCCAAATTATGTAAGAACTATGTACCATCCCTTGATATCGCCACACCAAAGTTATCAGCAAATACTCGGTCTTTCAAGGAATAACACTAAAAATATGAATTTAATGACAGAACTGTCAAAAAAACAACTTATATCAAGTGCACTTGTAGTGCACTTTGACTTGCTACAAATTATGAGAATTAATAGTCAAATTAATCCTTGACTGACACATTCTACCTAGTCTGCATTCGTTGAGTGGCACAGTATCATGCAAGACTTATGTAAGAAATTATACTGTTATTTCATGCATTAAAAGATTGTGTGTAACAAGGGAGGCGTTATAGTTTCTTAAGACTAAAGTATTTCTTGATTGTGTATTGCTGCCTATGGAGTAGAAAAAATTTGCTATATGAGCGGTCAATAGCTAATTCAACAACAGAAGAGACAGAGGGAGCCCTGAAGTAGCCATCACAGACGCCTGCGGTTGGGAGCCGTAGTGATAACGTCTGATACTGGAAGATAGCGTAACATATCCGTAGTTCAAATAGCAATATTTAAGTGAGAATATTCAAGAATTATAAATGCAAAATCGATTGCAATGTGTATAGATTAATAGCAGCAAATTAAATCTTTATAGAACGCTCCCATTTTTACGTGTTATCTCAACAACAATATGTTTTTGAATTATGAGCAGGAGTATTTTGCCGATTTTTAGAGATTCTTACATAGCTATAGAAAAGCTCTGTTCATAATGCATCGTACTAATAATAGAGAGCGTGAGTCTCGTTGAATAGGTTGAGTGTCCTGTAAAGAAATTATGAATTATGGAGGCTTAGTTAGGATCGCTTTCTCCAACTGTTGCTGGCACAGATGGCTGTAAAGGGTATCAAGATAATATAGTTTGTTGTATACTGAGAATCTGTGCTGTTCGTCAAAAAACGATCCGTATACTATAGATCCTTGTGCAGTGGATTGAACCAGAAGACTACTATTCGTCATTTATTTGTCTGGGTGGTCCGTAGGACCTTTGCCCATTAGTCACTGTCTAATGTACGTTAGTCAAAAAACGCACTGTAAGAAGGGTTTTGACAACATTGTCACATTTGCGAGCTATAAGTTTTCAGAGATTTGTTGGCGAGAAAAAGTTTTTAAAAGATGGAAGTTGACCCAGGAGGATCAACAGACGACGCAGTTCCACATACTATGAGGAAAGAGCTGAGCGGTGGCGGAAACCAAGCAGAATCAGAAAACATGAGCTCACTGACGTAGATGTCATCGGAGCAGAAAACGAACGAAAAACTGATGCTGATTATAGACGACCAGGCGAGGCAGATTCGAGACCTGAGACCATCAAGGACCAGACAGCCAAAATTGACAGCCCGACCGCTCAGGTAACCATATTGCTAAATTCAAAAGAATCCCCTAAAGAACAGACAAAGACCCTAAAAAGACCACTGAGAAACGTTACTGATGATCATCTCACATCCACAGACGAAGACGTCCAGACCGAAGGATTTGTAAAAGCAAAATCAAGAAGGAGGAAAGGCGACAAGGCTGATCGATCAACCCAAGACTTTCCTCCTCTTCCGAATACAGGATCAATTCCATTTCACACCTCCCCCAATTCATCAAATCGAACCACTATTAATGCTTCTACTACCAAGCCAGGGACCACGTGATCTACCTATCAGGTGACTCCGTCAGCCGATGTTACTTCTCCTCCGTCATCTCGTCCAACCGACGTGGCATCAACACAACCCTCACGACAAGGGCGCATAACCCCGATCGTCTTACGCGACGGGACGAGATGGCGTACTTTAAATTTCAAGTTTATTTCCCTGGGTATTAAAATAGATCGCGCGGTTGCTGTTGATGCGGGAATAAGGATTATTCCTAAATCCGAGGACGACTACCGTAAGATCGTTCCCCTATTCCGAGAGGAAGAAGTGCCCCATCACACTTTTCCTCTCCATTCGGAACGGAACATCCATGCGGTGGTTCGAGGAGTTCCCGTCAACTTTTCGGATACTGAGATTAAGGGAGAACTGGAGCAGAGGGGATATAGCCCTCTCCACATCATTCGATTGAAGCGCAGCGGCGGCGCGCCCATGCCTTTGGTGGTCGTGATACTGCCCAAGACTGAAAAGTCTCAGCAAGTGTTCAACGAACACGAACTGCTGGGACTGGCTATTCGAGTTGAGGTTCAGAAAAACTCCAGAGTCATTGGGCAGTGTCACCGCTACCAAAAGTATGGGCATGCGCAGTCATATTGCACTGCACCGCCCAAATGCTTAAAATGTGCAAAGGACCACATGATGCATTTGTGCCCCCTCACAGAAGAGGAAGAACGCAAGTGCGCGAACTGTAGAGAGGGACATCCCGCAAATACCGGACTTGCAAATTCACTCCAAGGAGGAACTTGCAAGTGATAGCGCAAAGGCGCAATATATCATACGCGGACGCAGCTCGGGATGCAACCTTGCCTGCCCCCTCTGCCCAACCTCCCTTGAGCACGCAAAATGTGGACCTGGCAACCGCGCTAAGGTCCTTACAACAAATAATAAGCCCACTGATTAGCGCTACCCAAGCGTTGCAGGCGATATTTCCTGTAAATGTCTAGGTACAATAGTAGACAGCCTGCATTCATCAAAATTCTTTTTTGGGATTGTTTGGGCATGAGGGATATTCCCAAAAAACGGGAATTTCATCAAGCTCTTTTGGATGAAGGTATAGATGTGGCCTTGCTGCAGGAAACGTTGCTTAATCCGGGAGATCGTTTAGCTCTCCCGAATTATAATATTATCCGAGGTGACAGATTGAATGGTCGAGGCGGCGGTTTAGCAGTGTTGATTAAGCGCGGTATAGAGTATTATAGAAGCACTAATGCGGAGATGCATAGAGATGCGAAGCAGCTTCTGTGGTGGTCAATATGGCGGGAGGTGTCTCGTTGAAGATCACATCGGTGTATATCAGGTGTGGTGCCAGGCTACAAGAGGCGGATCTGGAGGTCCGAGCATAGCACCGAGCTACAGGTAGTCAGGCTGGTGGAGCATGTAACCAGAGGGTTCACCCTCAGCATGAGTACTGGCATCTTGCTTTTGGATGTCTCAAAAGCCTTTGAGGTGTGGCACGCGGGCCTCCTCTTTAAACTAATCCAAAAGGGTTTTCCTTTTTGGCTTCTAAAATTACTGAAATCCTTTCTTGAAGGAAGGAAGTTTCGGATCAAAATTAACAATGTTTTGTCAACAACACGGCCAGTACGGGCCGGTGTTCCTTAGGGTTCGGTCCTAGGACCAATTCTTTATTCGCTTTTCATCCATGATGTCCCCTCCCCCAGCAACTGCGAAGTCTACCTCTATACTGACGACACTACACTTGCCGCCCAGTCGTGTACTGGTGATCTGGTTCTCGATGGGTTGCAGAATGCGGTGGACGAAGTTCTAGAGTGGGCGGAACGGTGGCTGATAAAAATTAATCACTCGAAAACGCAGGCTATTTATTGTACCAAAAAACGTCGCGGCCCCCCAGCAGAGGTTTCTGTAGAGGGAAATCGTGTACCATGGACAAATTCTGCCAAGTATCTCGGTGTCACCCTTGATAAAGGCATGACCTGGCAGAAACATAAAGCATCCATAAAAACAAAATTCCAAATTGCGTTCCGGCAACTGTATCCTTTGTTATGTAGATCCTCCAAATTGAGTTTGAGAAACAAAGTTCGGCTATATAAAATGATTATTAGACCAGCCATTACTTATGCATGTGCGGCTTGGTGTTTTCTTGCCAAGACACACATGCAAAGTCTTCAAGTACTGCAAAGCAGAACTTTGCGGACAATTTGCAACGCTCCATGGTATGTCTCAAATGAGACACTACACAGAGACCTTGACATTCCTTACTTGAGGGATTATGTCAAGCTTCAGGCGCAGCGACGTTATAGTCAAGCGGAATCGCACAGCAACCCTCTGTTGCGTGACTCAGTGGACTACACAGTGGATCAAGCTCCTAAACATTCAAGGCCACGGCTCGCACTGTAATCAAAAGTTATCGTGAATCTTTAGTAAACTCAAAATTACACTCTAACAAAACCGAATAAAAAAAAATTGTTTAGTTCACCTCAAAATTAATCCGTGTACCAAGTCAAAAAGCTTAGGTGTTTCCTCTTAAACTAAGCATATCTGTTTTTCTTTGTTCTTCTCCTTTTTTCTTCTCTTTCCCTTTCTCTTTTTCCTTGACTTTGTCTGGTTTCTGGGCAACCAGGACTGACAGATTCGACTAACGTACATCAGACAGTGACTAATGGGCAAAGGTCCTACGGACCGCCCAGACAAATAAATGACGAATAGTATATGTACGTTAGTCGAATCTGTCAGTACTGGTTGCTCAGAAACCAGACAATGTAAAGGACAAAGAGAAAGGGAAAGAGAAGAAAAATGGAGAAGAGCAAAGAAAAACAGAAGTATTTAGTTTAAGAGGAGACACCTAGACTCTTTGACTTGGTACACGGACTAATTTGAGGTGAACTAAACAAATTTTGTATCGGTTTGTTACAGTGTAATTTTAAGTTTACTAAAAGTTCGCGCTATTTTTTTATGTATTATATACAGTGCGAGCCGTGGCCTTGAATGTTTACGAACTTGCTCTGCTGTGTAGTCCACCGAGTCGCGTAACAGAGGGTTGCTGTGCGATTCCGCTTGACTATAACGTCGCTGCGCCTGAAGTTTGACATAACCCCTCAAGAAAGGAATGTCAAGGTCTCTGTGTAGTGTCTCGTTTGAGACATACCATGGAGCGTTGTAAATTGTTCTCAAAGTTCTACTTTGTAGTACTTGAAAATGAACCAGAAGACGTGACAGTTAAGCACATGAGTTAAGTCTATCCTACCAAAAACTGTAATCCTGACATTACCAATACAGAGCGATGCATTCTGACCTTATGTTATGCACTTTTGAGATACGGGCTGGTAAAGTTTTCAAAATTAAATACCTCGCCGGTACTTTTCAAATTATTGGGGGCCAAGGATTAGCGGATGGACAGACCGACAGGCAGTCAGAATGACGGAAACAAGTGACATAGTTTTACGGGATGCATATATGTGATATAACATTCAAAAAAATATAATGTCATTTTCGAAATTAATCGCAATTACCAATACTATCTCGTTAGCGGCGTGTGAAGTAAGAGAAAAAGTAAAAGTATCGACAGCGAGCGGACTTGAGCGACCTTTTAAATTCACTTTTCAGTCAGAAACTTGGATAACACGATAAATTTGAGAAGTTCAATCTGCATGTTGCCGGATCATGAAGGATTTACTCCAAAATGCCATGAATAACACCGGCTTTACTTCGGGCCTATTTACCATGAAATGGTAGACTGGGAAACGGGATGAAAATGGAACGGGGAGGAATGGACCACCGACTGATATGCTACGCCAACTTGGATTTATCGTTGAAAATATTGGAGACCCACTGCTCATTATGTGGAAATAATTGTGGTCTCTGGTAGGGATAACCATTATTTATCACAATTACACTCCTCTGCTTAATTGAATATTATGCGGGGCGAAACCGAATATGCTATTTATGTTACACAGGGTGGATCGATATAATCAATCTAGGGTTCCAAATAAAATCCTTGCGTTCATTCTCAAAAAAGGACATCAAGCAAGTTGGCTCTGCACTTTCCAAGCAATTTTGTCATCAATTAAATTATACTCGGTTTATTTTCGTATCCAACGGCATATGAACCTCATTGAAAGAAATTCGATCAAAGCAATTAGGTGTGACTTAAAGTTAACCTTCTTCTGAATGTTAGATGTCACAGGTTACATCATGGCACATAACACATGAGTTACTTTTAAGGTATGGTTGGTAGGCAACCAAATATTCTTATATAGTTAGTAAGGAGTGCAACCACTGAGGGGCGCTGATGCTGGATTTTCCCGTCCTTTTTGGAAGCCCATGTTCAATGCTTTGACGTTGATGTATTCGTAATTTTGAATTGAAAGTTGAATTTTGTGCGGCGCCGGCGTTTTTATTAGTTTTGTGTTGGTATCTATTGAGCGTTAAACTGAATTTAAATTCACCAGCTTAATCTTTGTAATGGAGACTTATCGGAATCAGGGTTTTAAAAAGTGCGTGGTGCCTGGTTGTTCTGATACGATCAGTAAAAGGCATACATTTCCAAAATATGATGCCGCTCTTTTAAAAAAATGGATCGAACAAGGGCGAAATAAAGTTTTGGACAATAAAAGTCACGAACAAATTTATAAAAGCCATTTGGTGTCTGACTTACATTTTTCGGAAAGTGATAAAGTGTCTGGAGCCAAGAGAGGTCACAAAAGAACAGCTTTTCCTACATTACATTTTCCTACAATTTCTGAAATCCAATCTTCAACTAAGAAATAACTTTGTTTACATACATAAACCAGGTACATGCACTGCGTAATCAGTGAATAATCTGGATTAAATGATTCGAACATTTTGGTGTCCTAAAAACTTTCACAGTTCTTACGGTTTCCATAATTCTTGAAAACAAATTACCCAGTATTCACATAATGAAATTTAATCCTTTTTTAGGTATCGTTTCGGAAAATGTTCAGAGTAGTCCCGAAAGTTATGGAGGGAGTAGAGAAATTGCTAATTGTAAATTTAATTACTCATTTGTTCTCGTGCAGAAAACACATAGACATTGGATATGTCATGAACTATCGATGACCTTATCTTATTAAGATATAACAAGGGACTGTCATATTGATAAGAGATCAGTGGCAATGCATGTCTGATAACAGATTAGGTGCTGTTCCAGTTTTTTATGCACGCGATGGTACATCGGTAATACCGATTATTTTTAGATTACTAACAACTTGCATAACTGTTATTTTTATATACTGTATTAAAAAAATTCACATTTGAAAAATCAAATTAGGTTGAACCTTATTTTACTCAAAATGAATGAATGAATCGTGAAATTAGAGGCAATCCGGCCACCATAAGGAGCCAGTGCATTGGCCGCTTAAACAGGCCCTTATGCACCTCTACATTCCTTAGATAACAAGCCTCGCCCTTTTAGCGAAGTTGAGAATCGCCTTGAGTCCAAGCTCCTTGACGTCCTGAGGATCTAAAGTAATGCACCCCAGTATAGTCTACCTATAGTAGAGCTTCACAGCGACACAAAACGTGCGCAGAGGTCTCTTCCTCTACCCCGCAGCGCTCACACAAGGGATCGTCAGCCACCCCCATC